TAATATATACGGACCAATTTCGGTCCGTATATTTTCATTAAAAATAATAATTCATTCCTAATTTTTGTTATTTAATATTTATTTTTTACGAAAAATAATAAATATACGGACCAAAATCGGTTCGAATAGAAAAATGAAATTTTGTATTTTCTTATGGATATATACAGATCGAAGTCGGTCTGTATATATTTATTTAAATAATATTTTATTCATATTTTTTGTTATTTAATATTTACTTTTTTCAGAAATAATATTCGGACCGTTTCGCTCTGAATATTATTGGCGCTTTATACTGTGGATTCCCGCCATAAATATACGGAGCGATACCGGTCCGAATATGTTAATTAGTATATTTTGTGCCACCGGAATATATTCAGACCGATATTCGTCCGAATATTTATTTTTTCGAACCAACACTATTCAGTTCGTATATGTTCGATCCGTATACGTCATTTTTCTAGTAGTGTTAGACTCCTGGATCTTTTATTGTTGATGAAACATCTATCTTAATCTTCAATAATGCCCAAAAGAGGACTGCCACCAACCTCCCAAAGCTCCCTCAATTCGGAATTTAGATGGATGTTTATAGGATTTTAAAAACCCTAGTTGGAATAGAAGTAAGACTTAGAACAGAATAGGAAATTTGAATTTTGGACGCTAAACGCATGGTGCTAATACCTCGAATTACGTGTCGACACAAAACAAGAAACAAAAAGTCTAATTTTGGATGCTTAATGCATGGTGTCGCCACCCCTATTATATGTCGACACTACACCCGTGTCAAGTTTCTGGTCTCTCTGCAATTTCTTCAATGGTAGAATAGCAGATCTAGTCCTCCAGATTTCATACGATAAGCAATTAGATCCCAAAACTCAAGATTCATTCATTTAAGTCCCAAAGAGGCGCACTTCTTCTTGCAATTCAGTCCCTCAACTTTCAAAAGATGTTTAATTAATCCCACAAACTCCTATTTTTATGCATTTAAGTTTTTTTCTGCACAATGAATAAAAGCCATCTAAAATCTCATAAAACTCATCCAAATATCAATAATATCAAGATAAAAATTTCACATTAATATACATATAAATTTAGTTCATCAGATATTTACTAAGAATTTTTTGGTAATTTTTAATAATTTTTTGGGGAAATTATGGCAATTAATGGTAACATTTCATTAATATAATAGCTTACCTTATTTTCTTGTTATATTTATTTTAAGTTATATTATGTTAATTTTAAATACAATTTTTATAAGATAATGGTATATATAAATAAATTTTTTAGTGAAAATATATATCAATAAATAATTTAATAATTATTTTGTAGTTTAGTAATTTATCTCATGAATTTTTATTATGCAATAAGTGTCATTTTCATTATATTATTATAGTTTGTGAAGAATTTTTTGACAATTTTTTTGCCGAAATTTCAGTGATTAATTGTGAAATTAGAACAATATAATAACTAACTTTATTTTGTTATTATATCTATTTGAAGTTGAATTGTATTAATTTTAAATGTAATTTCTATAATTTTTTTATGAAAAAATATATAAATTAATAATTTAATAATTATTTTATGAGTTAATATTTTATCTCGAGGATTCTCATTATATAGTAAGTTTTATTTTCACTATACTATTATAATTATATAGTTAAATGTTTATTTTTTGATAAATAAAAATTGGTTATGAAATATCTTTTTAATGAGTGAATTTAACATGTTTTTATATTAACTTAGTAAATGAATTATAAAATATATGAAAGATATGATAATTGTTCTGAGACTAATTATCTTATTTTTGTGTCATTGATTTAATAAGATTATGAATCATCACAGTTGGATGTATAGATGTCAAACTTTTTGAGGAGAAATATATGATGAACTTTACAATGGAGTTGAATATTTCCTTCAAATTGCATACAGTAGGCTTGGTCTTCGATTGAATGATTTAATCATATGTCATTGTATTAAATGCTTTAATTTATCATTGATGACTTGGGGAATGGTATGCGATCATTTTATGGAGAATGGTTTTATAAATGCTTATTCTGTGTGGTGGGCACATTGTGAGACATTTATGAATTCAATATATCCATGTTTTGCTGGTAATTTAAACGAATTATCGCAAAGTCAAGATGCATACCATGATGATCGGAACAACTTCTATGACATGATGTATGATGCATTTTGTCCAGAGGATAATGACTATCGGGAAATAGAAGGTAATTTCCTTAACCAACATCTAGACAAGGAACCAAATAATCAAACTAAGGCATTTTATGACTTGTTTCATGCTTCTACAATACCAGTCGGTAATTTTAAAAGAAATGAGACACTGCTTAGTTGGCTCTTCTGTATGTTATACACTAAAACTACAAATAATATAACTGGTAGTAGTTAAATTGCTATCCAATTACACAAATAATTATAAATCAAACCTTAAGGTCCAATAGTTTCTTTTTAAGTTTTAGTATTTAAATTTAATTGATCAGAAGTTCAATTCTCATTAAAAAATTAAAAAATCCCTTCATCCTCATAATTCCTCCTGTTAAAGAAAATTAAACAAATAATTATAATATTTACCCTAAATACAAATATCAAAGATATAATAAATATTTTTTAATAATTAATTTATATAAAAATTATAAAAATTAATATATATTTTAATATATTTGATATATAAAATTTTTTAATTAATTAAATTAAATTAATGTTAATATTTTTATTCAAATTAAATTATAAAAAAATATTTATTATATTATTATCTTGTGTTTTTTAGTACAGATAATTATAATAAAATGTTATAAATAAAAATGCATGCCGACAAAATCCCGAGGACCATCTGGTCTTTTATTGTAAATAAACATTTGGCGTAAAGTAAGCAATGACAAAATCACTGCATTGTGGGCTACCGCCACGCAAGCAAATCACTTACACTACCTCCACGTGTCCCCCCTTTCTTACCACTCCGCTAAAAGCTTCCGACAACGTTATCACCCCACGTTGATTCTGGAAGCATCTTTCACCGCTACCCAGGCCACGTGTCCTCCTCCTTCGCTATAAATTAATAAGAATGCCACTAATAATTTCATCAAGCTTTAACCTTTGTATGTTCCCATTCATCTTTCAACCAAATTAAGATGACTTCTCTTTTCATATGTGGTCTATACTCTATTCAGGGGATATCATACCATCTTCTTGGTTTGTTGGTAATTGCAAGAAATCTTCTACCTTAAAACCACAAGAGCAATTAGAGTTGGTGGAAAGACTGATCGGTTGGTTTTAAAACTATATACAATACACTGGACTGGTAAAATAGCATTCTAGAAAAAATGGACCACACAAGGAGAGCTAGCTCTTTAACCTCCTCAAAAGTGTGTATAGTTCTGGGCCACCATTTATGCTAGTTAAGCTACAGTGCTCATGGCAGGAAATCCTGACTGGTAGCAAATGTTATGAGAGCCGTCAATAGGAAAGCAGGTTCTTAAAATGTTGGAGAGCCAGAAGTAGTAAGGTCTCCAGATTCGATCATAAATAGTCAGCAGAATACAACTACAAAAATAGTAGAATCTCTAATCTGAAATGGAATAACTTCTATGCTTAAAAACTTGATTAATTAAGAAGGAAACAGATCAAATCTACTAATCTTTTAAGTTTAAGAGTTTGGTAACCTAAACTCTTGAGTTCAACTTAATCCACCTTATATATATATATATATAATCATTTTACACAAATAATTTTTCATTCTTTTTTTTTGTTGGAGTATTTTCTATTTTGCCTGTAAGGCAGAATCTCAGATCAGAGAATACTAGACAAAACTCCCTACAGGCTTTGTTTGGGAAATATTTACTAATGAATATTGTTATTAGACCTATATTTAGAAATGTGACTCAAGATGACAGGTGAAACTTGAAAGGTTTATGTGATCAGTTCTTTTTTCAGGTCAACAAGTCATTGCAGAAGAAAAGAAAAAAAAAATGCAAACTTGGCTAGAGCTATTCATATGACAGCTCCTAAATATGTAAACAAATAAGAATGCCTAAAGCAAATAAACGCGCATAAGAGTTGCACAATTTTTACGTGGAAAACCTCTTCAAATGGAAGAGTAAAAACCACGGGACCGTACTAATTTATATTTTATTTATCATGTAATTTTCATAAGACATTTTAACATTTTTAAATATCAAAACCGTACTAATTTTTTACATAATGTCATGATATCTTTGGGACTTTACGCAACAAAAGCTCCACATTTTAAATGCAGACTAAGGGTTAGGTTACTATACATAATTGATGATGGTGGATGTAATGTAAGATTTGACCATAACAAAGAAAAGATCTAGGCGATTCCTTTTACATAGTTTTGCTTTAATCAAAGGGCAAAGTAAAGGCCCACCTTCTGTCTTGAGTGCCCCATGACATTAAAGTAATCCTCAATTTGCTTGAGATTAGATTACAAAAATCACCCTGTCCTCTTTCTTACTAAACCGACCTAATTCATTAAGTAGACTAAACTTTTATCTCATAATTAAGTCTCATATTAAATTAATAGACATATACTTACTAATTTATTTGCGAGTAAAAAGAGTTAATTACTATTGTGTGAGATAAGGATTGTAATCAAGTCAAAGAAGCCCAATTGAAATTGTTAATTAGGCAGCCATTTCTTAAAAATAAATAAA